TCAACTTTCTTTTCCAATATAATAATTTTATTTTGAAAATCTTTCTGGAGTTTAAATTGCTCCATTACATTAGACAGCTATCCATAAAGCAAACATTGATACAAAGAAGACAATGTATCCAGTTAATTAATTAGAAGTGACTGTGTATATCTATTTATATAATAATTTATTTACAGTATTTGAAGTTAGTTCGTTTTCATCACCTAACTCGACGGCTATAATTTAATCAGAGGGCTAAAACAATGATTTATCAATATATACTTCTGAAGTTTCAGTAATTTCTTCTAAAACCTTTACATTTGAAGATATCTTTGAAAATAACACAATTAAGATAGCATCTGATTGTTAAGCAAATTTATCAAGTGCTTTAAGATTTTAAAAGTTCATTGGGATATTTTATACTTCAACCTTGAATAAATAAAGCAAATTACTTAATTATCCTTTTAGAGTCCTTAAGAAAACTGGATTGAAGAATAATCTACAAATGGGGAAACAAAAGTGGATTTAGATTTTAACAATTTTTTAAAATTCTTTAAACTTTCTATCTTTTTGAGTAATTTGCTTTAGAATATTTCGTTATCTTAATGAGATGTTTGAATATTTATTAAGATAACTTTTTTGTTTTCCTACTACAATAATATTTTAATTTACTTGCTGTCTTATTTTACTCATCAAATCTATTTGATTGATAAATAAATCAGAAGGGCTCAAGTCTGTATTAGTGACAACAATTGGATAGCAATAAGCAACTGCAAATAAAAATACAATTAATATTTTCATAATTATTTTAATTAAAAATCGAATTTTATTTAAGCTTTTCATAATTGAAATTTAAGTCAATCTATATGGAATAATTTAGTTTAAGCAAAGTCAATCTGCTATTTAAATATTTTATTTTACATATTTGTATAACAAATAATTGATTTCTAATATTAATTGATTCTAATAAAATAGCTTTTTCATGTTATATTGTCTAATCAAACCAAATCGAGAGGTTTATAGAATACAAAACCTTGAACTAACCATTTAATCTCAATAATATAAAATAAATAGAAAATTAATTATTCAAAATGATCTTTTTCAAAAAGCCTAAAGTATTTTTATAGAAATTAATCATCAATATATTTATAATAGAATTACATCTTAAAATTAATGATATAATTTAACAGTTTAACAATCATATTATATATTAAATAGTTGCGGTTACTGAATCCTAAAGTTTTAAGTAATTTGATAAGAATATAAGCTATAAGCTGATATCGAATATGATATGAATTTTTATCCCATCTTATAAATAATCCCTAATTGAAAATTAAAACTAAAAAAGTTCAAACATCATTTAATTTTACTATTTTTGGAATTCAAATGATATTATAAACTGTGGAAAATTGATTATCCATTTGATCATCATAGCAACTTCAATAACTATTTCTGTTTTAATTTGCCATTGAATTATTCATTCTTAATTTTATAATATTTTATTTTTATATGGAATTTCTTAAAAATTATTTGTAATATCTACTTATAAGAATGATAATTTTCATATTTATTCTATTTCTGCTGTTCCATATAGCATAACACAAAGGGACATTTCTAAATTATTATTAGCGATATCCATTTAATATGTATTTCCATCCTAATTATTATTTTATATACATTTTAATGTAATAAATTTAATGTATTATTTTAGGATCATATTAACAATGAATGATGCTATTTTCACCAAAAGTAAAGTTTACTCCAGTACACTATAACCTTAATAACTTGAAATTCTATATCCCCCAGTAGATGTTATGTAAACATTGTGGTTTTTTTGTGAATAATTTTCATTCATATCATAATGAAAACCTTAAGCTGTTTACAAATGGCAAATTCCAATTCCTGCCCACTTTATGAATTTCTTAATAAGATATATTTTTATATATTTATTTTAAAAGCGAATGTTGTTACCTTATCTTTAGGTAATGGAGGTTTCATTACAGCTAATCCAAATCCTCCTTAAGGAGCTAATAATATAAGAAAATTGGCTACCTGAGACTACTTTGGGTTTAACTACTTAATAGGCAGCTAATTTACAATTACTATTAAATTAAGGCTGATATGGATTAAGTAATATTGATTAAAAGCTTTTAACTGAATTCCTTTAATTTTTTATTCTACTAAAATTTATTTTCTATATACCACCTCATTTTATCCTTTTCTAAATTAAAAATTTTTTCATTAGTTTTAATCTGGAATTCCTTTTATATTGAATTACAAAAAGAAATGGAATTAAGATGGGTCTTTAATCTTTCTAAATAATGTGTTATTAATTCAAAATTTTATGAAAATATTCCTTGTTCATTTTCACAATTTTTCTATTGTTCTTTTAATTTATCTTATACTGTAATTATATTTTAAATTATTTATGCTTGATCATTGTCTAGTTTACAATTATTTTATTATAATTATTAAAACTATTCATTTAAAACACTTTATTATAACCTTTTAGTTAGAAAACTATTTATCTAATTTTCTAAATTAGATAAATTTTTTAATCATACTCAATATCTTGGTATTTTGAATTCTATCATTCAATTTAATTATCTAATTTATTTCAAAGAAATTATGATCAAATTATTGAAGTTAGATCATATTTGAATTACATATTTAGAATTCCTACATTTACTATTCAAACTTTTTATTCAATTGTTTATCTAATTCTAATTATTTTTCAATAATTTTTGAATAATGATTTGGATTTTAATCCTAATATATTGGTTCTAATATTTATAATAATTGCCCTTATTGAATTAAAAGATATTTTGATCTTAAATTATAATTTTTTTTCTATTATCTCTTAAAAAGATTATAAATTTCCTTCTAATTATTTAATGTGTAAATTTTTGGATTATATATATCTATTACTTAATTCCTTACAAAATTTATTGTTTCATTCATATGTTGCTCTCTCAAGTTTTAAAATGCTTTAGAGATTTTTTCAGAAGATTAATTGTAAACTTCAAAGGATTATTACAATTAAGAAGGTGTTATGTATTTTCCTTGATATTCTAAAACACATTAATTATTTATCAGTCATGATTTTAACATTGAAAATTTAATGTTGGGGTTGATTAAATTAATAACAATAATACTTTAGCTTTTTGATTTCTTTCATCTATATTTTCGATTTTTATCAATTCTTTAGGGTCTATTAGTTCGATTAAACATTAAAGGCATAAATATTTATTCTGATCAATATTATCTAACCCTTTCCTTGCTGCTAAAATTTCTTAATCATGTATAGAGGATTTCCTTTTAAATAAAGTATCCATCATATAATTTTATTTCAATTGAAAATTAGATGATTTATAGCAATTGCCCAATTCTATCATTTTTTGATAAATTCATATACTTATACTAATTTAATATACATTAATAATATCATAAATAATTTAAATATGGAAAATCAAAATATTTATAAATGGACACCAATCCTTAATCATTGAATTAACTTATTAAAATAGTTATGTTATCTTAAGTTAATTCTGGAACTATTGCTTAATATTTGGAAAATGTTTCTATAAAAAGGATTCAGATGTTTAAATTGATCAGTCTTTTTGATAGTTACAGAATTTTAAGCATTTAAGATTAAGCTTTTGTACTTAAATATAAATAATGTTTATATTTGACTTTAGTTATTCAATAAGTTTATAAAATGGTTTTTTGAACATGTTTGTAATCTCTTTTTTTATTATATTTATGATTGCTAATCTAATGAATTCATAAATAATTATATATGGAGAGTATTTTAGAAAAGCATGGATAAAATTTTATCAGTAATCTTTATGATAAAAATTAAAACGTAATAAATAGATAAATGAGATCATTATATTTAATCTCATTATTCATAATTATATTGATGTCAGCTCTCTAAACTTAATTACCACTTGATAAATGTTATATATATACCAAACATATTTCAAAGGTTGAAATCTAATCTTCTATATCTTCCTATTTTGGTTCTAATAATTTTAGTTTAATGAGAAATTCATCCCCTTTTAAATTCAATAGTTTTTTCTTTTTTGCTATATTACATTTAACCTATAAGAGTATAAATAATTATACTTTTGCTTAAATGAATTATTACTTATAAATTAAAATTAAACCTAATTTAAAATAATATATATACTTAATCCATAAAGAGCCTTTTGATTAGTAGATGTTTCTTTTAATAATACTAAGCTTTCCTGTTCTTTTTGAAATTTATAGGAATAATTTCTTCTTATTTAATTCCTAAAGGTGATTGATTATCTTGGTCAAACGAATTATTTTTTTAATTAAGAGTTAAGCTCATTATATCTATCATTATTAATTGATCCAAACTAAATGCAAAAGTTGTCAATAACTGATGTTTTTGCTAATATTGTTATAGAAGTTAATTTTAAATACTTTGCTGTTATAGGTATATCGTGATAAAAGCTCTTATTCAAAATTTTATTGTTCTCTATCTTAATTTGATATAAAAGCTGAGGATTATTGGTGTCGTTTAATCTCTTCTTAATCTCTATGATTCTACAATATCCTAGATTGAAATGGTCAACTTAGTATGATAAATTTGAACCATGATTCAAATTTTTTTGAATGATATCGCATTTATATAAATAACATCTTAAAATAAACTTTAATAGTATGTAGATATATTAGGACTTAAACTGAAAATCTTATCCAGCTTTGAAATATTATTAGTCTTTTGTAAATTCCTTATGAATATTATATTATCACAATAATTTATTTAATTCAAAATATTCATTTCAATTACAATAATGGTTTTAGTTCCTGAGATTCTATTGCTATAAAAGAGATTATTTAAATTAAAGATTGTAGATTGGATTTAGGTTTTCAATTGAAGATATTTTGAATAACACAATAATTTTTTTAGTTCATTTATTTANCCTTATTGAATTAAAAGATATTTTGATCTTAAATTATAATTTTTTTTCTATTATCTCTTAAAAAGATTATAAATTTCCTTCTAATTATTTAATGTGTAAATTTTTGGATTATATATATCTATTACTTAATTCCTTACAAAATTTATTGTTTCATTCATATGTTGCTCTCTCAAGTTTTAAAATGCTTTAGAGATTTTTTCAGAAGATTAATTGTAAACTTCAAAGGATTATTACAATTAAGAAGGTGTTATGTATTTTCCTTGATATTCTAAAACACATTTTAATTATTTATCAGTCATGATTTTAACATTGAAAATTTAATGTTGGGGTTGATTAAATTAATAACAATAATACTTTAGCTTTTTGATTTCTTTCATCTATATTTTCGATTTTTATCAATTCTTTAGGGTCTATTAGTTCGATTAAACATTAAAGGCATAAATATTTATTCTGATCAATATTATCTAACCCTTTCCTTGCTGCTAAAATTTCTTAATCATGTATAGAGGATTTCCTTTTAAATAAAGTATCCATCATATAATTTTATTTCAATTGAAAATTAGATGATTTATAGCAATTGCCCAATTCTATCATTTTTTGATAAATTCATATACTTATACTAATTTAATATACATTAATAATATCATAAATAATTTAAATATGGAAAATCAAAATATTTATAAATGGACACCAATCCTTAATCATTGAATTAACTTATTAAAATAGTTATGTTATCTTAAGTTAATTCTGGAACTATTGCTTAATATTTGGAAAATGTTTCTATAAAAAGGATTCAGATGTTTAAATTGATCAGTCTTTTTGATAGTTACAGAATTTTAAGCATTTAAGATTAAGCTTTTGTACTTAAATATAAATAATGTTTATATTTGACTTTAGTTATTCAATAAGTTTATAAAATGGTTTTTTGAACATGTTTGTAATCTCTTTTTTTATTATATTTATGATTGCTAATCTAATGAATTCATAAATAATTATATATGGAGAGTATTTTAGAAAAGCATGGATAAAATTTTATCAGTAATCTTTATGATAAAAATTAAAACGTAATAAATAGATAAATGAGATCATTATATTTAATCTCATTATTCATAATTATATTGATGTCAGCTCTCTAAACTTAATTACCACTTGATAAATGTTATATATATACCAAACATATTTCAAAGGTTGAAATCTAATCTTCTATATCTTCCTATTTTGGTTCTAATAATTTTAGTTTAATGAGAAATTCATCCCCTTTTAAATTCAATAGTTTTTTCTTTTTTGCTATATTACATTTAACCTATAAGAGTATAAATAATTATACTTTTGCTTAAATGAATTATTACTTATAAATTAAAATTAAACCTAATTTAAAATAATATATATACTTAATCCATAAAGAGCCTTTTGATTAGTAGATGTTTCTTTTAATAATACTAAGCTTTCCTGTTCTTTTTGAAATTTATAGGAATAATTTCTTCTTATTTAATTCCTAAAGGTGATTGATTATCTTGGTCAAACGAATTATTTTTTTAATTAAGAGTTAAGCTCATTATATCTATCATTATTAATTGATCCAAACTAAATGCAAAAGTTGTCAATAACTGATGTTTTTGCTAATATTGTTATAGAAGTTAATTTTAAATACTTTGCTGTTATAGGTATATCGTGATAAAAGCTCTTATTCAAAATTTTATTGTTCTCTATCTTAATTTGATATAAAAGCTGAGGATTATTGGTGTCGTTTAATCTCTTCTTAATCTCTATGATTCTACAATATCCTAGATTGAAATGGTCAACTTAGTATGATAAATTTGAACCATGATTCAAATTTTTTTGAATGATATCGCATTTATATAAATAACATCTTAAAATAAACTTTAATAGTATGTAGATATATTAGGACTTAAACTGAAAATCTTATCCAGCTTTGAAATATTATTAGTCTTTTGTAAATTCCTTATGAATATTATATTATCACAATAATTTATTTAATTCAAAATATTCATTTCAATTACAATAATGGTTTTAGTTCCTGAGATTCTATTGCTATAAAAGAGATTATTTAAATTAAAGATTGTAGATTGGATTTAGGTTTTCAATTGAAGATATTTTGAATAACACAATAATTTTTTTAGTTCATTTATTTATTTCTATTCATTCAAAACATTATTTCCAGACTTTTCAATTTATCGAAAAATCTTTTCCATTATCAAAAAAAAATTTTTCATTTTATTTTTTACTCACTATTCTATTTTTTTGTATTAGACAACTTCAAATTTCATTATCTTAACTTCCCATGTCTAAATGCTACATTGATCACAATTTAAATTTTTATCACGTAAACTGTCCAAAAAAAAAAATTTGGAATTGGATTATATTGCATTATAAGCAAATAAATATCCATTTCATAATATAAAATATAATTGATAAATTATTGTTATTTTAGCTAATATAAGGCCTTTCTGGTTAAATAAATAGGGTAAAAAATTAATAATACTAGTTCGAATAAACTCCACACACAAAAATGGCAAATAATAATCATATAAAAGATTGGAAAGAATCAAAAATAGTACCAAAGGGAAAAAAATTTTTAATGAAAAAATTTAGTCAAGCCCCTTCTCCTTATAGGAGCTAAGGAAATTGTAGAGACTCTAGAATCTTTAGAGGATAGAAACCTAATTAAGATGGCTTACTTCTTAGCCAACTAATAG